AAGATTCTTGGGTCTCAAAGAACAGCTCTTTCCAGATCTTGTGCCCTGGACTGCACTGATCCTTCCCTTCCTCTTAACCTTGTACAGGACTCGTGGGATTCAGCCTGAGGATGCCAACACCAGGTCCCAGCACCACGGAGGGAGCCTGGGGGGTTGTTTCCACATTTCATCATCATTTTTATCTCTGTGTGCATGTCTGTGTATGGATATGTGTTTATGAATCCTCGGGAGCTAGAGTTGCAGGCAGTCGTGAGCTGCCGCAGATGGGGGCGCTGGGAATCAAACTCGAGTCCTCTGGAAGAACAGCACACCCTCTTAACCCCTGAGTCACCTCTCTAGCTGTGATGGCTTATTAATAGGTGCAGTGTGCTGCAGATCAGCCTTGCCCCAGGCACAATGATGCCCTTCTGTATGTAGCAGACACTTGGGGATTCAGACAGAGTCCACTGCAGACCTTGGTACCTTCCTTGAACTTCTAGACGCTGGGCACCATCACTTACAAACAGGATCCCGCTACTCTCTTCCGTGTTCCTAGATGGCCACCAGTTATAATGACTCTGAGGACTCCATTCCTGTAAGATCATAGCCGCCTCCCGCCTCCTCACCAGAGGCACAGTAGTTAGCACCCATGCTGTGTCTAAGGCTCTCATACCCTAACACCCCCAGAACATCACTAATACTTGACAGGAGTACAGTGAAGTTCAGGCCAGAAGACCGCCCACTTCCTCATTCAGTCGCTCACTCAGCAATGCACTGGTCCAGGAAAAAGCGTGTCCCACAGTGATGGAAGAAGGCAGGACCCAAGTTGGGGGATATAGTCCCCGTTTCCAGTTATCAACGTACAGCCAGCAGGCGACTTGAGGTAGGGCTCCCATCACAAAAAACCATCTTTCTCAGGAAAAGCCTGGACATTCTCTGCCACCCGGATATTCTCAGGCCCAAAGCATCTATTGAGAACTGTTTTTGAGTTCTGGTTCTAACACTCACAAACTGTTAAAGCTGGACCCAGGCTTCCTGTGTGAAACAGAGACCCCTGTAGACTGTCTCACCAGGGGACACTGAGCAGTCACTGTCACAAGTCCTGAGACTCCCAGACAAGCTCGTCCCTCCACGGATGTCAGTTTGTTTTCCATTTTTGTTCCTTCATCTGTTGTGGTAATCTAGCAAACAAGCTGGCTCCATACTGAATGAGTCATATGGGTCCCAAAAGATCACAGCCCATGGCCATTCCAACAGTTGACTTCCCAGTTCTGACAGGCGGAGGCCCTGCAGCCTGATGTAGACACCAGGCTGTCAGATCCCTCCGTCCTTCCGTTCCCTCCATCCAGGCCTTACCTTCCACATAGGACAGATTCTCAAATCTGACAGAAGAAAGAGGATGTGGGAGAAGACCATGAGGATCCACTGATCCACACGCCATGGCAAGGAGAAGCCCAGCTCTTATCGTTCCTTAGAACGAGACAGAGTGTCTCCATGGTGCAAGGATTCTAGAATTCAGTTGTTTCTGCCTCGGCTTTGGGGCTCACCCTGCTGAAGCAGCCTCAGGAGCTTGCCACAGCCATGAAGGGAGGCGATCAGAAACGTCCCTAGAACAGTGATTCTGGGGCTCTGCGCTGAGCCTGCAATCATGCCTGGCCCGTTACAACGTCTGCAGAGCCCAGCTCTCAGCAACGGCCTTGATGGTGCCCTCACACCTAGCTCTGAGCCTGTGATCTTGTCCCTTGGCTGGCTCCTGACAGCACCTTATGGTTATCCTTTGATGCTTCCCTAGTGTTCATCTCAGCTGCCTCTGAGGAGCCCCTAGAGGTGTGGGAACCAAGACTTCTTCCCACAGCATAGACTGCTGTGAGAGTTGGTTTTGCTCTCAGGTATTTTCAAAACAGAGCAGGTCCTGGGAGTGTGTAGGGTGGGGGCCTGGCCTGAGGCTTCTGGAGAAGCAGCAATTTGCAGACTTCCAGAATACATGGTGTCTAGGATCTCCTCCTCACCTCTCCACCCGAGGTACCCAGTGTTGCTGAAGGCACGGAGTGGCACACTTTCACCCGCTGCTGAGGGAGATGACCCGGCATGACTGCTGTATAGAGAACTATGTAGTAAAGCAGACGTGTGGAAGCCACAACTGAACCTTCGCCCCTGGAAACAGTCTAGAGGTGCCCGTAGGACGAGACTTCACAGGCGGCTTCGGGAAGCCTTCATGGAGACTGTCCACCTGCTGCCTCAGAGAATGAAAACCCAGCAGCTCCGAGCACTGAGCGGTCTACGGCTTCACGCTGACAGAAAGGGCTCAGAAATGAAGTGCACCTGCTGTATGATGTCAGAAACAAACAAATCAAACTTTTGTCTTGTGGTAGGAAACGCAGGAAATGGTCACTCCTACAGTCGGATGCCCTCAACATAGCAGAAAAATATTCAAAGTGGAGAGAGAACTCCAAAACAGAAAAACTCTTTGCCTCTGTGAAAAATATTTTATTTTTAAAAAGATATTATTTTAGCATGTTTGCCTGAATGAGTGTATGTGTGTATGTAAATTATATATACATACACATACATATATACACTACACACACACACACACACACACACACACACATATATGCATGTGTTCTGTTCCTACAGAGACCAGAAGAGGGAGGCAGAGCCCCCACAACTTAAGTTACAGACTGTTATGAGTCACCATGTGGGTGCCGGGGACTGAGCCTGGGTCCTCTGTAGCACCAGCCAGTGCTCTTAACTGCTGAGCCATCTTTCCAGTCCCATCTTTTAAAACACTTTCTTCTGAGAAGCAAGAGGGCATTTGATCAATAAAACAAAGACAAAAACCAAACACATTTGTAATCAATTAATGAATGTATTTTATGAAAAATGATTAGGTGTGTATGGGTAGTTTTGCTGCACATATGGAGGCAGTGACCATGCCAGGAGGCCAGAGAGAGCATCAGAGGCCCTGGAACAGGAGTCACAGATGGTTGTTAGCTGCCACGCGGGTACCAGGTTTGATAATGATGTCTCTATCTGTTGCTATTTGTTTTCCTATTTGGAAGCCTCACCTGAGGGGACTCAGCTGGCTGGGACTCTATAGGATGTCCAGGACTGCCTCAATATTATTCCCTAGTCAATTTCTGCTGGGTGTTTTAAACACCTGATTCAATGGTGTTTATATCTATCATCTATCTATCTATCTATCTATCTATCTATCTATCTATCTATCTATCATCTATCTATCTATCTATATCTATCATCTATTTATATCTATCTATTTATTTATCTATCTACCCATCTATCATCTAACCATCTACCTATCTCTATTTATTCTTTTCCTTTGGTTTGCTAGATACTTAATAAATTCACTCATTCAAACCCTAAAGTATGGCTGTCACACATCATTCTCCAAACTATATAAAACAGAACCTTAAGAAGAAACAGACTAACCCTGATTTTGGGTTAAGGCTCTCAGAAACCCACAGACTGTGCAGATGTAAAGTACATGAGGTGTTGACAAGATCTGAAGAACACAATTGACAAGCACGAACCAATTAGCTGTAGCTCAAACTGCTGGGGGCCCTGTCGGAGGAGCAGCAGAGAGCTATTGGCTTCAGGAGATTGGCCCACCAGAATGCAAGGCACTGATGGGTGAGTCTCAGATATGCAAGGCCCCAAGGGCTTCAGCTCCAGAAAGTCTCTTGTTACTGCTGTGCCTTTACATGTTTGCGGCTGCCATTTTCTCTGGTATCTGGCATAGTGTGAATGGGTGTCGGGGGTCCCTGGTGCCTTTAGAGGCGTTCTACTGGCATTTTTACCCGTAGATTATTATGAAGATGATTTCCTCTTAAGCTGAACTGTTTAAAGTGCTGCTCCCCGCTCCCCCCCACTGATAAAGCAGGGGCTGCAGAGGATAGAAAATAGAACTAAGGAAGTGTCACCCAGCTAGGAGCTAAGAGTTTCTCTAGAGGAGCCATATAGACAATGGTTTAGGCTAATGATTAAGGAAAACAATCGAGTCCCAGGAGTTAGCACAAGTTCTTTCTGATTTGGGAAAATGTGTTCACGGGTTTCAGTGGGCATCATAGCTAAACAAGGCTTTAAACAAATGATTTCATGTAACTGGAAAACAAAGAATTGGATAGTTAGTTAAAATAATTGGACAGGACTCTTCAGTATAAAAAGTGAAACTAGTAACCTGTTTTCCTGGCAATTATAAAAACTACTGCCTATGTAAACAATTATGGCTGAAAGAGTTCTGATCTGTGAAGTCTTGTTTTTCACCTGTAATATGTAAAATATTCAATCATGTAAGGGCTATGAAAAATATAATTTTTACTTGTATTCATTGTAATCATTCACTTAAAAAATAAAATGTATCCACAGTATAACTTTTATATTGTTTGAAAGATTCTGCTGGAGTATATAAACTGTAAAGGAAAAAAAAAAGACAAGAGAGAAGGAAGACACCAGGGAAGATGGAGAAGACAACATCAGGGTAGAAGAACAGAAGAAAAAAAGAACAGAGTAGAACAAGGACAAAAAGAAAAGTAAAAGAAGAAGCTTTTATCCCTCAGAAAAAAAGTCTGTATGTTTCCCTTGCTGGTTCTGCATCTTGGTCCTAGTCTTTCCGACCTGCAGAAGGCTGGTCCCTCTGCACCAAACTTTGTTCAAAAAAGTGTTTTCAAGCTGGGCAGTGGTGGCACACACCTTTAATCCCAGTACTCGGGAGGCAGAGGCAGGCGGATCTCTGTGAGTTCAAGACCAGCCTAGTCTACAAGAGCTAGTTCCAGGACTGGCTCCAAAGCTGCAGAGAAATGTCTTGAAAAACAAAACAAACAAACAAAAATGTGTTTTCAATTCAAATGCAGATGGAACACTCAGATTGGGAAATTAGGCTTTGGTGTGTTTTCTAACTCTCTACAGTGATCATATCACACTTTTCACAAGCAGTTTAAAGTGAAGAGAGAGGGGGAGGAGGGAGAGAGGGAGGGAGGGAGGGAGGGAGGGAGGGAGGGAGGGAGGGAGGGAGGGAAAATTACCCAACTAGACTCTGAGTCTGGCGTTCCGGCTGTGGACTATTCCCACTGGTGGCCCACAGGGTATGTTTCAATTGCCCTAACACTCTGACCACTAAGCAGGTGATGAGACTGAGACCACAAGCCCAGGCCCTTATTTCTGTCCCCCAGTACTAGAAACACAGCAGAAACCATGAGTCCCCAAACTAGATGGCCTACCTACCCATCTACCCCGACCCCCAGAGTCACCCCCAAAGAACAAGGGGGAAAAGGGGGCCAGCTGATGCTCACACAAATTTAATCTCTGCTCTTGGTCTTAAAGTCCAGAATGTTGCTTCCAAGCCACACCCCCTTCTCCTGGCCACTCTAGACCTCCCTGCAGGATCCACGCTCTGCAGGGACCACTCCATTCCCACGCTGACTCCTGTGGAGTGTGGACATGCAACCTCACTCCATCAGCAACCTAATGCCGTTCAGCAGGGACAGAGCTGGAAGAGGAGGGGCGGAGCAGTCACAGGCCCGCTGAGAGCTGCAGCAGCCAGAACAGGGATAGGAGGCAGGAGGCCTGGCACGGCGCTGGTGGTGCCGAGTGGTTCACTTCCTCCTTGATCCATCTGGTGTATTTGGTGAGGCGAGTGTATACAGCTGGATTCTGAGGTTTGATGCAGGCCTTTTCCCACGATAACACCCCGGCCAGAATCCATCTTCCCTCAATTTCACAAGCCAATGGCCCCCCAGGGTCCCCCTAGGCAAAGACAAAGGGGTGGTGGAGGTCCTGCTGGCACCACAGGACCTACAATGTCCACCCCCTCAGCTCTGTTTGAGAGAATCGCTCCTGCAGGAGCTTGCTAGCTGGGGCCCCTTCGGCTTCTCGATTGGAGACCACACCGAAGAATTGCAGCCATTAGCAGTCAGAGAGAAAAGATGAGAGGTTAGTGGTGGTAATGGGGAAAGAGACCACACGCCAGTACTCATTCAGAAAGAGAGCTGCCAGAAGCCCCCAGAAACTCACATAACATGCATTCTCTCCGTAATTGGTGGCACACAGCATGTTCCTCCGGATAAGCGGGATAACTTGGGGATAGAAGGACGTCTTGTGGAAAATATGGTCACACTTCTTGTTGTCCAAAATGAAGACCTCGGCCTCCCGAAGCTCTGGAGTCAGTGTCAAGTTGTCTGTAGGGAGCAGAAGGGATAAGCTGTGACCTCCCAACTCCCTGCAGGTCGGCTGAGCCCTACCCCACACCTGTGCACCTCCCTCCGTGTGATCTTTCCGGCACTGTAGGCCTGACACAGAGACCCCCTCACCGTGCCAGGCTTTGGTTCAGGAGCCTCTTCTCGAGGAAGCTTGTGTTGCTGAACCCAGAAGGCTCCCAAGTCCCAGCACAGCCACTTACAACTTGGAACCCCAACTCTGGGATCTTCCTTTCCATAGCATTTATCCCTTTAGCCCCAACTGTCAGGCACTTCTCTAGGTATTTTTGGTCATCTATCTACTCAGAGCTCAGCTCACGTCCCCTGAGCTTGGTTGTTTTTGTTTTGTTTTGTTTAAAAACAAACAAACAACAAAAAAAAAACACAGTTTCAGACAGCCCAGGCTGGTATCAAACTTATGTACCTGAGGCTGGCTTTGAACTCATCACTCCCTGGCTCCTCACTAATGCTGGAGTTACAGGTGCAATTCATCAAATGCACCTAGCGTGACACTTTGTCAGCCTCTGTACCACCCACCCCTTTGCCCTACTCTGTGACTCCCTTCCAGGCATCGCCAAGGGTCCAGAGTATGGCAGCTGTTTCAGTTGTGGCCAGAGAGGAGGGGAGGGATGGCTTCCTAGCTCTGAGTTTCCCTAAGAGGTAGATGATTATGCTCAGCCAGCCCAAGCAGCGTTGGCCTGACTGCAGTCCCTATGTGAACCGTAACAATGAGCACCATATGAGGAGCGCTTAACACACTCCAAACTGCAGACTGGAAACCACAGCCATAGGCTCCTCGAGGGTGCACAAGGGATGGGGCAATGAAGGCCCAAAGGGACATTTCCAAACTCATTCAACTTGCCTGAGGAGTGCTGCTTAGTCTTGCCCCAGCCAGTCACCCAGCACTGAGTCCCAGCCTTCAAGTTGAAGCCTTGCTCTGGGAGACAGATGGGCTGCATGTGCTTGTTGAAGGTGACAGGGGATTCAAGACGGAGAAGGGCAATGTCGCTTCTGATGAAGTTCCGGCCCCAGTACTTGGGATGCACAATAATGTCCGCCACGGGAATCTTCAGGGCCCTGGAAGAGCCCTCGGGCTGCAGCTTGCTGCTACCCAGCATCACTGAGTATTCTTTGTTACTGCGGGAGATACAGAAGCACACCCAGCAGACAGTTTTCTACACAACGCACCTGCCACCTCCCAGGACCTTTTCCTGTCCCTGAAGACCTGCCTAACAAGCTCTCTCCATTCAATTTGGATTAATCCAGCCTGGGACACTCAAGGTCAAAGGCATAGCAACCCTTTCATTCACAGTCCCATTGAGGTGTGTGTGTGGGGGTGTGTGTGTGTGAGAGAGAGAGAGTGTGAGAGAGAGAGAGAGAGAGAGAGAGAGAGAGAGAGAGAGAGAGAGAGACTGAGACTCCTGGGGTTGGGGTCTGGGCTTTCCTGTTGCCCAGCTTAGAATACAGTCTCTGTTGCTTGGAGACCCACCCCGACGTAGTCCCTGAACCTTGTGAGGTCCTGAGCCTGACTCTTCCCCTGTGCTGAATGCCCCTTCCCACTCTTCCTGGTTCCGATTTCCTTCATGGTTTCATGGGAGTACTGAGGACGCTGGACCAAGCCCACTAAGGCCTTTACATCCTTGACTCATGGGCCACACTCACCCTCGGATGCAGTGAGCTGCAGAGACCACCCAGCTGATATCAATGAGGGCCCCTCCACACACGTGCTTGTTCTGTATGCGAAGGCTCACTTCCCAGGGCCAATGGCGGCTCTTCTCCAAGTTGTCTGGCCACCAGGGCTTGCCACAAACTTCAGAATAAGCATTGCAGAGAGTACAGTGTACACAGAGAGGACAATCAGAATGACGAGTAGCAACAAGTCTCCCTCTGGGGTCAGGTTGCCAGAGCTGTACCCCAGGGGCGTCTTCCCGTTACAGAGAGGAGACTGAGGGGCAGAGGACAGTGGACCCAAGGGCACCGAACTAGACAAAACATGACAGTTACAGAGATAAGAGCATGGGAAAGAGACAGAGGGACCCCACAGCGGGAGAGTAAGAATGAAATCCACAGAGGACAATCCATGCTGAACCTCAAAACAATGCAGAAACGGAGCAGGGGTTCCAAGAGGAAAAACGTGTTTCTGGTACTGGGCCATGTTGAAAAGCTGTCCTGTTGGCTGCATCTCTGTGATGTAAAAAGTCCCCACACTGGTCAGAGTGGGCAGAAAAATAGCTATGAATTTCTCTACAAGAGGTCTTTACCCTGCACAATCGGGAGCCCACAGTTATTAGTTTGCCCACTGGTCTACCAGCCAAAGTGTATGAATGAATGCATGCATGAATGAATGAATGAACATAGGTGCAGGGATTATAAATAAAGTACAAGGTGCTGCCAGGTATAGTGGCGCACGCCTTTAATCCCAGCACTTGGGAGGCAGAGGCAGGCAGATCTCTGTGAGTTTGAGGCCAGCTTGGTCTACAGACTTCCAGGATAACTCGGACTATGCAGAGATACCCTGTTTCTAATAAATAAATAAAATAATAAAAATAAAAATAAAAAATAAGAAAAAAGAGAAAGGTTTTCCCTCAAAACATTTATTAAAGAAAGGGCAGGTCAGGGGGAAGAATATGACAAAGCAAAATTACAAACATGTTTGAAAGTGTAACAAAGCTGATTACATACTAACTTTAAAAACGAGCAAGGGGCTAAAGAGAAGGCTCACCGATTTAGAGCACTTGCCATTCTCTGAGAGACCAGGTTTGGTTCTCAGCACTACCATGCTGGCTACAATCATCTGTAACTAATTCCCGGGGACTTGGCATCCTCTGCTGGCACAAGGCACATACATTTGCCCAGGCAAAAACACTCCAGCACATAAAATAAAAATTAACAAAACAATTTTATGCACAAATAAAAACATCTTTAGGTGCTGGGAGACAGCTCAGTTGGTAAAGTGCTTGGTGTGCAAGCATCAAGACATGACTTCAATCCCCGGCACAGAGTAAAGCCAGGCATGGTGGTATAGGCTTGTAATCCCAAGGCTGGGGAGGCGGGGACAGGCAGATCCCTGTCTATCCTAATCCGTAACCGTCCAACCAAGGAGAGACTCTGTCTCCAAAAACAAAGAGAGCAGTGCTTGAGGAACAGCACCTGAGTTTGACTTCTGTTCTCTACACAATTTCATGCACACACACACACACACACACACACACACACACACACACACACACCATCTTTAAATGAGACGGAATTACACAGAGAAAGCAGAAAGCAGTGAGGCTTGGACAGAAGCAAGAACATAGCCAATTAACCACATAATCAATAGTGAACCTTAGGCCTGACAAGGGAGGCCTATGAACCCAACCATGCACTCCCTGGGTCTAAGGGGAAAAACAGGAAACCTCAGGAGCCAGGCCCTGTAGCCAGAAGCTTGTTATGAAGCTGTAGGGAAGACTCAAAGCCAGAGCTCAGATCAGAGTAGCCCTGCATGCCCATGGATGACCCAGACACTCTTTCTTAGCACTCAGGGCTGTGTCCTGGCAATGGTATACGTTGTTTAGGAAGTGCATCCAATACTTGCTTCCTACCAAGCCAGAAATGCTATTCAGGCAGAGACTTTCAGAATGTATTTTTCCCAGGAACTGGACCTTTCCCTGCCACGGGGACCCACTGACCCACCTGGCTGGTCGTGGTCCTCTTTATCACCTGAAGGAGAGAAGGACAGCGATAACTTGTAGCAGGATGGACTAAATAATTGGTTCACTCACTCGTTCATCAAATAGTCCCGAATCTGATGCTGTTCCTAGTCTGAAGTCGCAGACTGGGAAACAATGGTATCAGACAGAACCTGTCTGAGGACACACACTGCTCAGCTATTCAGACAGTAAACACATTGTCAATATGTGAGATCAGGACAGGGGCAGGGACTGAGATGTCAGGTCAACCTAGAAGAGGTGGCAGGTGTAAGCTGAGAGGGGAAAAACAAACAAAAACTGATAAAAAAAAAAAAAGTCCTCCAGGGAGAAATACAATAGAGTATCCCAGAGTCTTTGGAGGATGAAAATGATGTCTGTGGTGGAAGGGAAAAATGAGGCCAGCAGAGGCATGGATCGGATGCATGGCGTGGATCGTATGGACGGCGTGGATCGGATGCATGGCGTGGATCGGATGGACGGCGTGGATCGTATGGACGGCGTGGATCGGATGCATGGCGTGGATCGGATGGATTGTGTTACAAGGGCAGCAGGGCAGAGACAGGAAAGTGACAAAATAGATGGGGGGCGGGGTTCTCCACTGCATCTCTGCAGAACTCAGGCAAGCAGGGAGGGACCTGGACGAGGCTCTGAGGACAGATATGACGAGCTTGAGGGGCGACCAAGGGACATGGGTTAGTCTGGACTGGCACTGGTTTCTGAATGCAGAGAAGGGCTGGCTGTCATTCACTTCACTAAGACAGACAACTAAGAAAGAAAGCCAGCCTTTAGGAGAATGAGGGTCTGGTGTAGACACCAGCAAAGTGAGATGCTTCAGGATGGTTCGGGGAAGAGGTCCAGCAGGTGGGTGCTCCTTCAGGCTATTGTCTTAGGTGGCAGGACATAATGCAGCCCAATGCCTGGGGTAACTGGGTTCACCCAGGGAGCAGAGAAGAGGGAAGGAATCAATAGCATCTTAAGTCTGAAACAAGCAGAGACTGGGTGGCGCGATGTGGACATGGAGGAGAGGGGTTCTCCTGAAACAGGAGACTCAGGAAGCTAGGGAAGGTGGTATGTGTTTGTAATCCCAGCACTTAGGAGGTGGAGACAGGGGGTTCTGGACTTCAAGCTATCTATCCTCAGCTATACAGAAAGTTCAAGGCTACCCAAGGGTTCATGAGACCTTGCCCTTCTCACCAAATAAAAGAAGGAAAAATAAAAAGGGGGGAAAGGGTTGGAGGAGGAGCCACAGGAAATAAAAAAGGAAGAGATTAATAAAAAATCAAAACGAACCAGGCGGTGGTGGCGCACGCCTTTAATCCCAGCACTCAGGAGACAGAGGCAGGAGGATCTTTGTGAGTTTGAGGCCAGTCCGGTCTACAAGAGCTAGTTTCTCAGATCTGATCATCATGGAAGAAAAAAAAAAAAAAGAGCTAGTTCCAGGGCAGGCAACAAAGAGACACAGAGAAACCCTGTCTTGAAAAACACCAACAAAAACCAAAACAAACAAACAAAACCGGGAGCACTAAGGAGGACAGGTCAGGAATGGGCTGAGGATTACATGGGAAATGAAGAGCCAGAGGGAAGCATGAAGCCATAATGACTCTTGGGGAAGGCTGGCAGCGCACTGAGAAGAATGCTGGAAGAAAACCAAGGAACGCACTTGTGCGGATGAGTATGACTGATTGATGTAAGCGGCGCCTCTCGGCAAGGGGGCGACAACCCACCCCCCCCCCGGCCACAACCCCCCCCCCCGCCCTGCTGCAGCCCCAACTCTGCTCGGGAGGCATACTCCCACTGGCAAAGAAGTGGCGATGGGTCCTGTTACAGAGCAGTCGGAGGATTCACGGGGGCTGGGCGGGGGGGGGGGGTGTCTGAAAAGACAGTCAAAGGCTGGTGATGGGAAGAAGCCAATCATCCTTTTGCGAGGATGGAGATACGGAAGGTGCCTGGGCATGGAGGGAGAGGCCAGGGATGCTGCCTGCTGCTGTCTCCAGGAGACCACAGGGTAGTTGTGACCTAGGACTGGGAAGCAGAAGAGAGGAGACAGTGAGGGGAGAGTGGCGCACACAAGTTCCAAGCGGCTGGAAAGGAATAGCCAACCCGAGCAAGACTAGAGAGAAGACACTGACGAAGGACACAGAAGAGAAGGTGCCCGCCTCACCTAAGTTTGAAGGCGGAGGCAGCAACAGTAGTGTCACAAAACAGGTTAGGACCCAGTGCCTCAAGGATCCAGGCCAAGCGCCCAGGCCACACAACGACGACGCAGCCATGAAGATGTACCTGTGGGCTGCGGAGAGAGCTCCAGCGCGCTGTCACGTGCCTACATCCCGTACGTGATGACGTCTTAGACACGTGACATGATGGTCACGCGCCTGACCGCGCCTCTTCAGGGCCTTCGATTCTCGTACCTGGACCCAATCTGGTCCTTAAGGTGAGTTCAGATCCCTTGACTGGGACGGGATCTCGGATTACAGAACTGTGAAAACACCCGCAGTGTTCTCATAGTGTGGCAGGGCATCCAGAACCTAACTGGGGAAAGATTCCTGGGCCAGGAACAGCATCTTGTGGTCCAGCCTCAGGCTATTCTCTTGTTCTCTGGGCCTGTCGCACGAGTTTCATGGTAACTCTTGACGAGGACCAGGAAAACCCCCAAACAGAAAATAACATCAGGAAGATGGTTCTGAAAAGGTAATGGATGAATTGGATCAAGACTAAATCAAGGAGGGGGCACAGCTGGGGCAGGATGCTGAGTCAAGAAGGGCAGCTGTCCTGGTCCACAGACCAACAATATGAAGGACTGTCGCCACTTGTCTGTGCCTGGCCTTGGGCGTAAACAGGGCTTTTCACAGAGGGACGATCTCTTTGGATCTCCAGAGCCCAGCAGAGATTGTGAGATGATCTCACCAAAATTCCTGTTTAGTCCCAGGTGTCCAGCAGAACTCTCCAGACCCAGGCACCCAGACTGGCATTGAAACATTGTTTGTTTGTTTGTTTTTGAGACAGGGTTTCTCTGTGTAACAGTACTGGCTATCCTGGAACTCACTTTGTACCAGACTGGCCTCAAACTCATAGAGATCTGCCTGATTCTGCCTCCCAAGTGCTGGGATTAAAGGTGTGAGTCACTGCCCAGCCAGTATTTACTTGTTTATTTATTTATTCATTTGTTTATTTATTTATTTAACGGCAGTGACAGCAGCCAACCTTATCTACAGAGTGAGTTTGAGTAAGTCAGGACTATTACACCGAGAAACCCTGTCTTAAAAAACAAAGATTATTAGTTTAATTTTATTTTTTATGTGTGAGTGTTTTGTCTGCGTGTATGTCTGTGCACCATAGTATGTACGTGACGCCCACAGAAGCCAGAAGAAGGCATCGGATCCCCCAGGGCTGGAGTTACAGATGGTTAGAAGCCACCAGGTAGGTTCTGTAAATCAAATTTGTGTCTTATGGAAGCTCACAACCACTAAATCATCTCTCCAGCCCTACCCCACCCCACCCCACCCCAGTTTGACATTTAAATGCATTTGGGTGAGTAATCCGTGCCATTTACACGTCAAGGTAGGCCAGAGAAGGCTGTCCTGCCAGCATTTGGTTCTTAAAGTTAGGTCCCCACACCAGCTGCACCAACAGCACCTGGGAACTTGATCTTCATCCTCACACCTTGGCCCTGGCTCCCGGGATTGAAAACTTCCTTGGTGAGACCAATAATGTGAATTATATTTCTTTTTAGACAGGGTCCCTCTCAGTATAGTCCTGAGTAGCTTTGAACTTGTGGGAATCCTCCTGCCTCTGGCTCCCAAGTGTTGGGATTAGATATGTCCCATCACTCCCAGCAGTAATGTGACTTTAACAAGTTCTCAGAGTGTGCTCTCACGAGTGAAGAATGGGCCATGAGGCAAGAGCGGAGCTATAAAAAAGAGGAAGATCTTTCTACTGACACGGAATAGCTTGCTGTGGTAAACAATGTTAAGTGTGTGTTGTTAGTCCCTGGAGAGCCAGCGGTTTCTGGAGGGTGGAGGTGGTTTGGGAGCTTGCTGTCATTTTGTCACAACACCTCATACCCCAGTTTGTAGGACTAGCCTCAAACTCAGTGTGTAGCAAAGGAACCACTGATGGTCTTTGCCTCTGCCTTCCAAGTGGTGAGGACATAGACAAACACCTCCTCATCTATTCCAGGTCCGCTGGTTTCTTAACATATCAGGTGATGTATGTATTCATTAAGAAATGAATCTGTCAGGGATACATAGTGGTGTCCTGTCTCAAAAATAAAAATAAATAGAGAGGGGGTTGATGTAAACTCCGTGAGATTCATCCATCCTTTGGCAGTGGTTGGAACTGGATGCCCACTGAAGCCAGGGGGAGCAGAGGGTGAGACATGGAGTGATGTGGGAGTGTCATATATCAATCTGTTGATTTCATTGGTTAAGTTATAATAAACCAGCTGCTTGGCCTCATGGCTTGGAACATAGATGGGAGGAGTAAACAGAATAGAATTCTGGGCGGAAGAGGAAGTGAGGTCAGACTCTGCTCTGCTTCCAGAGGGACCGGAGAGACCCGACAGCTCTGCTGGAGCAGAGACACCATGCTCAGCTCTCCCAGGCAGATGCACGCAATGAAGCTCCTCCAATCCCGGATGGATGTAGGCTAGAATCTTCCCGGTAAGCGCACCTTGGGGTGCTTACACACATCATTAGAAATGGGCTAGTCCAGGTGCGAGAATTAGCCTGTAAGGGTTAGAGTTCATGGGCCAAGCAGTTCTTAAATGAATACAGTTTGTGTGTTGTTATTTCGGGCATGAGCTAGCCAAGCGGCCGGAGTGTTGGGGACGCAGCCCCGCCGCCACTCCTATTTCAACAATGGAGCCCTGAAAAGACAAAGGGTGGGAGGGGGGATTGGAGGAGACTAGTGAACACATCTATAGTGGAACCCTGGATAAGATGGAAGCTGTATAAAATGTGATGAATCTCTCTTCAAGTCCTCCTGACTTTGGGAACATGGCCTTTGGAAATAAAAATCAGATAAATGGCAAGAAGAGAAAGACAAATGAATAAATAATTTTAAAAAAGAGAGGGAGAAAGACTGCTTCTCAGGCCCTGGCTTCATTCTTTTTTTTTTTCTTTCAGAGACAGGATTTCTCTGCAGCTTTGGAGCGTGTCCTGGGACTAGCTCTTATAGACCAGGGCTGGCCTCGAACTCACAGATATCCACCTGCCTCTACTTCCTGAGTGCTGAGATTAAAGGCATGCGCCACCACCGCCAGCCTGACTTCATTCTTGCTCCCAGTTCCTACCTGTCCTGAGCCCTTCCTACCTTTGAACATGGTACACACAGGTAAAGTCCCTGCTAGATGCTGATAACTACGCCAGGCATGTAAGGAGCAGGATTACCTACCAAACCACCTACAGGACTCAGGTCTGAGCTAGCCCAGCCTCATCTCTTCTGTACCTTACTGCCAACTGTAAGGAACTTCCTAGGCATATGGGGGTCCAGTTCTCTGAGCGGCCACGTATCTCAGGTGAGCAGAGCTTCAGAACACACAGGACACTCTCCAAACATTTATTCGGTGCACATTTGAAATCCCCCCACTCCAAACTGCCTCGACACAACTTGGGGTGACCCTGGATGTGGCCACTAGGATACTGAGGAAGGGGTGCCAGGCAGGAGTGTGAGGTACGGGTTGTGCATTCACTGACAGACCCCCACATGGGGTACAAGGGAGTTTCTGCCAGCCTCGGATACTTAAGTCCCAGCTCCGTACTTCTGCAGGGAGCTGGCAATGCTCCTCTTTTCCTCCCTCCCTCTCTCCTTCCCTCCCTCCCCTTTTCCAGTAGTCACTGATCTGTGTAATGCAAACAGCCAGTCTAGACCAATGATGGCCTCTCTTCTTGACAGATGTCCTCTGAGATGTTATTAGTCATTGTGCCCCTCCTAGCCTCCAGTTGGATCAGTTCACTCTCATTCCCACCAGGCAGAGAGCAATCAGCTGTGTCTGAGACGAGGGACCAGAACACCAGTCAGGACACCTTGCAGTCCCCGGTCACCCTGCCACGGTCCACTATGCCTCTCCCCAGGGCAATGGATCCTGACAGGACTCTGAAGAAAGGGCCGAGAGAGGAAGATGGGACTGGAGAAGAGGCCTAGTGGGAGACTCAACCCAACAGGAAGAGAGTGTGCTAAGGAAGGCAACTGACCAAGATGGCCAGTTGCAGCGCCAGAGACAGGTGCAGGACCGAGACTCCCATGGCGTCTGTACAGGAAGCCAGACTTAGAGTATCTTTGAGCCATGCATCGTATTCAGCGATGTCTGTGTAAACCAAGGGGACAGGGACTTCATCACAGTTGATGCCCCAGCTCACAATTCCCACCTGGGTCCACGTGTTCTCAGATTCACAGACAAGGGGGCTCCCAGAATCTCCCTGGAAAAGAGAAGAAAGAAACCAACTGTAGGAGTGGAAGAGGTAGCAGGCTGGCTGTATTGCTGGGGAAACTTCCTCAGGCCCAAAGGCCCAAAGGCTCTTGCAGGCCTAGATTCTTCCCTCCCTCCTTCCTTCCTTCCCTTTTTCTTTCTTCCTTCTTTCTTTTTCTTTTTCTTTCTTTTTTTTTCTTTTATGGAGACAGGATTATAGGGTTTCTCTGTGTAATAACCCCAGCTGCCCTGGAACTAGCTCTGTAGACTAGGCTGGCCTTGAACTCATAGAGATCCACCTGTCTCTGTCTCCCGAGGGCTGGGATCAAAGGTGTAAGCCACCATACCTGGCCCTAGATTGTTTTAATGGCTGAGACTTAGCGGATGAAAAGCTCACGTGAAAACTTGCCCATCCTCTGAGCAAGGATATACCTTCTCTGATGACCAGGCAACAGACACAAGACGCACAGCCAGTCCAGCCCAGCGGAACAGTCATAGACTGACATTTACCTTGGGAGTCCCTAATCTACGGATACCAAACCCTTTCTAGTGAATGTCTAAACCTGTCAGAACTCATAATCCTGCAACTGTATTAGCCTTGGCCTCTAGAGCATGTAACCTGCAGAGCCCATTCCAGCATCATTCCCGTGTCTAGTTAGACTGCTCTGTCACGAGTCCTCAAAAACATTAAATACCTTGAGGACCATCCTTGCATGGAGGTCCTGGAATCTTTACCACAGTCTTAAGAAGTTCTCTCTGCCCTAACCCCACTGAGTAGCCTCCTCCGTGGGTCAGCTGTGCTGCCTTCAAGAGCCTGAGCACGCCAAAATTCCCCTTCCAGTGCAATTCTGCACGTCCCTGACCCACCCTAAACCCAAGGTCCTACAACCTTGGTCACCTCCAACACACCTCCCTCCCTACCTCAGGTTCTGCTCAGGACTCCTAGATGTGGTAACTCTCACCACACCTGCCCAGCTTTGCCTCCCAGCCCTGGCTGGGCCAGTCTAGGAATCTGACACAGTGCTCCAGGCTGCACATATCCCAACTCTAACCACTTGGGTTTTTTTTTGTTTTGTTGTTGTTGTTGCTTTCAAGGCAGGGTTTCTCTGTGTAGTCCCGGAACCACTTGTGTAGACTACACTGGCCCCAAACCCAGAGATCCGCCTGCCTCTGCCTTCAGAATGCTGGGATTAGCCGGGCGGTGGTGGCGCACACCTTTAATCCCAGCACTCGGAGGCAGAGGCAGGAGGATCTCTGTGAGTTTGAGACCATCCTGGGCAGGCGGATCTCTGTGAGTATGAGACCATCCTGGTCTACAGAGCAAGTTCCAGGACAGGCTCCAAAGCCACAGAGAAACCCTGTCTCGAAAAACAAACAAACAAAAAAAAAAAAACACAATGCTGGGATTAAAGGAGTGCGCCACCACACCCAGCTTCAACTCTAACCAGTTTATCCCATTGCTCCCAATGCAGACAAAACTTCCTTCAGCATTAGACCTCTGAACCCTTATATATGCCTGTGCCCCATCACAACAATGATAACCTCCCCTTTCCAAGAAATTCCAATGTGCATCCACTGAGGGCTCCAAACCCCTTCTCAAGAATACAATCTTCTGCAGAGGGAAGAAATGGACCTGGGGATCCTAGAGGCACTCATAGGAAGAGCTTCAATTTATCTCCCTGGACTTTGACTTCCAGAAATTTTTAATGCCTATGTTACAAGGCTGTGATATGGTTAACTAAGATTATAAAGGGCAAATGCTCACATTGGCAGGGTTGCGTGCCGCATAACACTCAGTACAGAACATGGTTTTGTATTATGCTCAGATTTAAATGCTTTAGTAGGGTCCCTAGGTAGCAAAGGCTAAACCTTTTAGAAGGACCAGGCCAGGCCAATTCATGGGAAACCTTAACTAAAGGGTTTGTACAAGATGTAGCGGCAGGGCTTAATGGCACATGCCTTCTACTCCAGTGTCAGAAGGCAGAGGCAAGAGGATCTCTGCCAGTTTGAGGCGAGCGTGCTCTATGCAGAGTTTCAGGGTTACTCAGTGAAACCCTGTCTAAGAACGGAGGTGGTGATGGCAAATAACTTGAGCCTTTGAGGTGGCCTTAAGGGGCCCATAAACTGACCCAACAAAGACTCTGTCCTGAGTTGTGCTGGCCACAGATCATCCCTTTCATCACGAGGTTTTCAGGTGTATTTAACCGGCTCTGGAACAGCTGATTACAAGGCTTCTGGAGAAGAATGTTTTGCCGGGCCTCCTGGAGGAGAGCTGAAGTGAAGACTGTATCTACAGAAAGACAATCAAGGATCTGTACCAGAAGATGACAGGGGCTACCAGCATCTGCCCGGTGCCACCGCCTGTGTGAATATACAGTTGATCCCTTAAGACAGACAGGCCATGCACTGGACACCTGTCCCAGATGAAACAGACAAGAAAAGTCTCGCCAGCTAGAAAATGACAACCATCATCCCCCAGAGTCTCTGCTGCAAGAGGGAAGGTCTAAGGTCCTGTGCTCTGCTCAGCCCAGGAAGGAGGAAGCTTAACCCTTTGGGGTTAACAGCTCAAATCGGTTAATATCACATTACCCCAGCCCAAATCTAATTTGTCCAGAAACCATCACATCACGTCTGTCACCCAAGCAACCAGGTCCTGACACAAAAATAAAAACCCAACACAGTTGCAATGAGCTTGCTCTCAGTGTATTCGCCTCCCATTAGAAACTCGCCCCTCCCCTCACAGATCAACCTGAAGCACCAGGCCGTCCCACCTGCCAGCCTCACCGTTTTCACGGTTCCAGCCGGTCACCCAGCACCATGTCCCGTTCTCCTCTTGGAAGGGCTTCTTGGGAAGGCACACAGGCTGGATATGTGAGGAGTAGTTCACAGCAAAGGCCAGCAGAACAAGAGCAATGTCGCTCTTCACGGTCTGAGAGTCAAAATCGGAAGGATAAATGATGTCTTTGACGGGGACGAGAGTCTGATTTACAGATTCAGAAGTCAGCACATTGTCTCCCAGCATCACCTTGTATTCCTGGTGGCTGCAAGGAAAAAAGAGGTCCTGGAGGGCTTATACACCCCTACACAAGGTGCTTGCTTCCCAGCCTAGCCTTCTGTGGATGCCAAGCATCAGCCCTCCCCCTCCTCCCAAACCACACCCTTCTCCAGGACCCCTGACCACCTCTGACCATGCAGCAGTGCTCCAAGTGTGGTTCTTAGACCAGAATCATCTGGAAACTTGCTAAAAATGAACATGTTTAGGTGTCACCTGAGACTGGCCACGAATCCTGGACTACCACTCCTTTTACAGATCTCTGTGTGTGTGTGTGTGTGTGTGTGTGTGTGTACGTGCGCCTGGCTGTCCTGAAACTTGCTCTGTAGACCAGACTGACCTTGAACTCACAGAAATCCACCTGTGAGTGCCAGGATTAAAGATGTGTACCACCACTACCTAGCTAAAATATCTTTTTGTTGTTGCTGTTATTTTTGTTTGTTTGTTTGTTTGTTTTTCCGGGACAGGATTTCTCTTTGTAACAGCTCTGGTTCCCCTGAAACTTGCTTTGTAAACTGAGCTGGCCTCGAACTCAGAGACCTGCCTGCCTCTGCCTCACAAGTGCTGGCATCACCGCCCCCACCAAAACAAAAACCTTAAGAGTGGGAGACAGGACACAGCTGGATCAGGGGCCCCAAACAAGGTCCCCAAACACTTACTCATATATGCAGTGGGCCGCAGTCAGCACCCATTGGTGGCTGATGAGGGAGCCTCCACAGACATGCTCGTTTCTGCTCTGCAGGCTCGCCTGCCATGGCCACTTCCTCACGGCAGATGGCCTTCCGTGACTGAACCCCATAATTCTACGGCCACATGCTTCTAAAGAGAGGTTAGAAGTGAAGCCAGCGCTCCACACCTCCAACCCATTCCACATAATCAAGGTCATCCTCAGAAAGGACTACCTCTCCTGCCCTGCAAGGACCGGAACAGACCCCGCCTTCCCAGCCCGACTGGTTTGCACTTTGACCTCCCAGACTGGCAGGTAGAGAGCGGGCACCGGTAGCAGTACCTGGAGCAAACGGTTCCTCTGGAGAGCTACTGCTGGATTCCATGACACCTTCAGTTGTGGTCAGTGAAGGAGTCCTTGATCCTGGAGTCCCAGTGGGGTCTGGAGACTCCGGAATTACCAAAGGATCTGAAATATTCACGGGTTTCATGCGGTTCCACGGTGCCAGGACCTCTAGACTTGTGAGCATCACTCTGGAATCCTCCGTGGGTCCGTAAGTACTACCTAAGGAAGAGGCCAACAGGAAACGTAAAGGCAGAACCGTTCCTGCTTGCTGCTGGCTTGACTGCCCCAACGGCATCAGCTCTGCCACCAACGCCAACTCCATCACCATAGTCCCCCCCACCCAAAGCCAAGCTCCGTGCGGCCACACCTCCGCCACTGCCACCACCCAGGACCCCTGTCCCCAGCCAAGGCCTCACTGAACAGAGGCTGAAGACGCTGAAACCAGACCAGGAGGGTCAGGAAGCCGCCCATTTAGGCCTTGGGCTCCTGCAATCCCTCTCCTGGCACCCCCGCCCCCCAGCAGTGGCTCGTGCAGGTCCAGAGCTTCTTCCCAAGATGGCTGATCCCTGAGTCATCGTCATCAAAAACCTACCTGGGCAGCACCGTCATGGGAGCAATTTCGAAGGCGTTCTACATCTTAGCAATATTAAATTCAAAAAGGGCCCGGAGTTTTTGCTGCTCTTGCAGAAGACCCGGATTTGGTTCCCAGCATCCACATGGTGGCTCACAACCAGTCATAACTCCAGTTCCAGGGATTCTGTCTCTCTTCTGACCTCTTCAAGGTGCGTGCGTACACACACACACACACACACACAAAGACAAAACTCTCATACACATAAAAAATAATGTTTAAAAAATATTAAATAAAAAGCCCATCCCAGTCCCAGGCAACATAACCTCCTGACAGTTTGATAATTTCCTTTTTAATCTCTGGTAGTAAAATAGGACCATATAGAAAACCACAGAAACACACAACTTTGGTAATCAATGTCAAGTGACCACGCATGTATCTACAATCCAGGTCAAGACACACAACTCAGCGACAGTGCAGGAGCCCCTCCACAAACCGTCCATGACACAACTGGAGGCTGTGTTCATTAATGCTACTTTACTGTCACTATTTTCTGTAGTCCCCACCCAAACATGCTTCCCTGCATGCTGCCCTTGAGTCTGGAAGGGCTGTTCTGCACTTCATATCTCCCTAAGAGACGCTGAAGACTGTACCTTCTTCTCCTGACCATCACACCTCATGTGTAGATGACCCTGGATTGTTTGGCGTGTAGTCTCTGGAAGTCTAGACTCTGAATTACACTCTTTCTTATTCTTCTCTCTTTCCTGCAAGTCTGCAGGACCCAGGTCCCAGCCCCCGTCAACCAGACAAGTGCTATCTATATTCTATTATTAGGAGAAACACAATGTCTACATGGTTTTCTTATTTTAATATTTATTTTTATTTTATATGTATGAGTGTTTTCCCATATGTATGTAAAGTGTACTGCATATGTGCCTGATGCCCATGGAGGCCAGAAGAGGGCACCAGATCCCCTGGAACTGGAGCTGTGGATGCCATGTGCGTACTGGGAACTGAACCAGGATCCTCTGCGAGAGTAGCCAGTGCTCTTAACGCCTTCTTCACCCCACTGCATGGGTTTTTTTTCTGTTTTTGTTTTTGTTTTTATGTGACTTTACACATGGTTTGATGATTTTGCCTAGAAACACTAATCCCTCGGGGGTGTTGAAAATAGTGATCTCACAGTTTCAGAATTTTCTTTCGTTCATCAGCTGGGAAAGTTTTATCAAGAGTGTGGCTGTTAACACATTTTACAGGTTTTTAAAAATTGCAACTGTCTTCCCTTCTGTGGTGGATTAGAAAACTCAGCCATAGTATTTTGCATCTTTACCAACCAAGGAATGGAATTCATCCAGGTGTGGCCGCTCATGCTATAACACCAGTAATTAAAGGTAAGAGGAAGTAAAAAGTCGAGTTCAAGGCTTCCCAGTACTAAAGTCAGAACTTGCCTCATTCTCCCACCCTTGTTGGAGCTAAGATGGCTTTGTGGTCTGCTTCTACCAACAGAAGCAAAGTTGTACAACTTCTGAGCTTAGATGTTGTCCTTAAAGTATCTGCCTTCAGTTGGGCGGTGGTGGCGCATGCCTTTAATCCCAGCACTTGGGAGGCAGATGCAGGTGGACTTCTATGAGTTCGAGACCAGCATGGTCTATGTAGCAAGTTCCAGGACAGGCTCTAAAGCTACACAGAAACCCTGTCTTGAAAAGACAAAGATAAAAAAAGAAAAAAGTGTCTGCCTTCACCCATTTTAGACACCGTCCTGCGGGCCCTGGTTCTTCTGGAGGATGGGAGCCTTCTCCAGCAAAGGGAAGCATCCAGACTAAACTCCTCAAGACTATCCAGGACACCAAGTTATGCTTTATAAAGGCTTTGTAAGCACTGAGTTAACAAATACTTAATACTTCATCATTGCTCTTATTAGAAATTCAGGCTTCTGCTCCCGTGAGCCTCTGCACACAGGGTTCTCAGTCAGCATCTCACCCGTTTCTAAGTGTGTTGCTCTGTAAACAGACATCCCCTCTGTTAGCCGACTGCACTCCAACCTGTTCTTAAAGAAAGCTGCCCCGAGAAAATGTCTCCATGCTATCCATCCTCGCTGCTATCCATCCTCGCTGATGTCCATCCTCGCTGTTGTCCATCCTCGCTGATGTCCATCCTCGCTGATGTCCATCCTCGCTGATGTCCATCCTCGCTGATGTCCATCCTCGCTGATGTCCATCCTCGCTGATGTCCATCCTCGCTGATATCCATCCTCGCTGATATGCATCCTCGCTCTCTCGCACTTAGGAAAGCTAAGTTATTGTTGAGGTTCTTTGAAATTGAAAAAAAAAAAAAAACACTAGCAAACCCCACAAATATGTCAGAAAAATGTGGCAGTGAGCACGTGTTTAAATCAGAGCCCAGAGAAACCCGGAAGTCATCATGCTAGGCAGCTTTCTCGAGGCGCATGCGTACCAGATGTCTGTTTCCCACTGCTCTGTGAATGCCCACAATAAAAGGTTGCACGTGGGGGGACACCACGCTGTGTGAGGCCGTTTAGTTTGGGATGCTATGTCACCAGCAATGGATCCCTCAAACTCATCCTGAAGCTTACGTTATCCCATTTTTGCCAAGCATGGCTCCTGGAATCAGTCTTGCCAGCGATGGGGGGCAGTGGCTTGGGGTGTGATGTCATTGAGACATCCCACGTCAGAGAACAAGCAGGGCAGGGTTGGCAGTTCAAGGGAGTTGAGCTACACGCAGCTGTGGCCCAGGTCTCTGCTGGTCACCCCAGAGGCCCTTCCAGAGTCTTCCCAAATGTAACGAACTGGGCCTCCACCCCCCACCCCCCACCCCTCTCTCTGCATACCAGTGATTTTTCTCTGGGCTGAGCCTGGGAGATGATAACTGAGGGGGTCAATTCCTAGCAGCCAACACTGGGTCAGTTTCTCAGAAGTTGGAGGTAGGTGTGATTTCTCGACCAGTGGCACCTCACAGGTTCACCACCGCTCACCAACGGGGTGCCTGTTCTGACCTCACAGGTTCACCGCTCACCACGGAGGGCCTGTTCTGATCTCACAGGTAAAGCACCGTTCACCTGGAGGGCCTGTTCTGATTTGTACATGACTCAGTTGTTTAGGATCCCAGTGGTTCCTTTTTTCTTCTTTATGTGTGAGTGTTTTGGCTGCCTGGGCCCATGGATGTCAAATAGGTCATCAGATCCCCTGGGACTGGAGTTTTAAGGATGGTTAGGAGCCACCGTGTGGGTGCTGGGAACTGAATCCAGGTCCTTTGAAAGAGCATTGAACCATCTCTCCAGCCCTGACCCCCGTGGTCTTTACTAGTGATCTTGCTGTCTGGAATGGTGGGAAATACCAGGTTCCTTTAGGCAATTCCTACTCACACCTATACATTTTTTCAAGCCTTCTCTCTGGGCAAGCCTAAGGGAAATGGTGTTTCAAGACCACAACATCTGACCACTAGAAATGGTCAACTGCCTCCAAGTGCAGGGGATCTGATGCTTCTGGTCTTTGTGGGCACCTGCAGACATGCAAGCAAAATATGCATGTTAAAAATATTTTTTAAACCTTAAAAAAGGTGTCTGTAGATGATATGAGAGAGTACATAGGAATCAGAGGGGAGGGGCTGGAGAGATGAGTGAGCAGTTAAGAGAACTTCCTGCTCTTCCCGAAGGCCTGCGTTCCATTTGTAGCCCCTACATGGCAGTTCACAACCATCTCCAATTCCAGTTCCCAAGATTTGATGGCCTCTAGCCTCTGTAGGCACTGCATGCAAGTGGTACACAGACCACACACGCAGTCTAAACACCCCTACACCTGCCATCCCGGCACTTAGGAAGCTGAGGGAGGAAGATGGGTACAAATCTGAGGTCAGTCTGAGCTATCTAGTAGTATCAGGTCAGCCAGGGTTGAAAGTTTCTGGAGGCCAGGCCCTGCCCTGAGGACCTCCAGCCACCAGGCTCCACCCACAGAACACTCCAATGGCCGTAACTACTGGACTCAGTCCCTCAAGACAGAAGTGGCCAAGCTCTGCAGAGTAAAATGTCCAAGATCAGTTACAAAATCCCACCAATCCCAGGCCACCCTGGAAAGCTCTACCCCCAAGAAGCCTACCTCTTGCTCAGCTCTTACCTGTTTCTCTCCCAAGCATAGGCAGCCACCTATTTCCCCCAGTACATCTCTTGTGTGAGGTTTGTTGTGTGGTGTGGTTTTGTGGTATTCCTCAACCCCCGACTGCCAGGATACCTTTCCCCTCAGAGCTGTAATGCTTGCATTGGAGATAGCTTTCCCCTCAGAATTTTAACACTTACATGGACCACACAGCAAAACCTTGCATTAAAATACAAAAACAAGCCGGCGGTGGTGGCGCATGCCTTTAATCCCAGCACTCAGGAGGCAGAGGCAGGCGGATCTCTGTGAGTTCGAGGCCAGCCTGGTCTACAAGAGCTAGTTCCAGGACAGGAACCAAAAAGCTACGGAAAAACCCTGTCTCGAAAAATAAAAAAAAAAATACAAAAACAAGGCTGGAGAGATGGCTCAGTGGTTAAAGGCACTTGCTGTACTGCGTGAGGACCCAGGTTCAGTTCCCAGAACTCACATGCTGGCTCAGAACCATCTGTAGTTCTGGATCCAGGGGATCTGACACCCTCTTCTGACCTCACAGGCAACAGGGCACGCACAGGACGCCCAGACATTCATGCAGGCAAAAGACTCATCATACTCAGAATAAATGCAGTAATGATTGCACGTGCATACGCCCATATCACAGCTTACTGAGCGTATTAAGTGAACACAGTTTATTATCTGTTTATTACATATAAAATAACAAAGCTGCTGAAATACATTTAATTGCTACATATAAAGATGTTTGGTTATCAATAATACCAAAGGAAGAAATCAACAGCCTGCAGACCAATAAGCATTAAATAAATGATAGCAAAATCTCCGACCCCGCCCCACCCCAGTAGTTTCACTCGTGAGCGTTGTCACCTTTTTAATTCATGTGATAGAGTTGACACACGCATCCAGACCAAGCAAACACGCAGCTCTGGCAGCCGAGGCACAGTGACACTGCTTGGACTGCAGTCAGGAAGCCCTCCCGTGTGCCCCCCTAACACAGGTCCATCCCGCCCTCGATGAGACGTCAGCTATAACTGTTGTGTCTTTAGACACGTTTCCTTGAATGCTCCCCTCTCGTCTCTAAGACTCTTTTGTATTTCATGTATCTTTAGAACCACGACTACACGGTACTCAGCCCCTTGAACGTCACCTGTAGAAGACCCTGGACCCTGACCTGTGGTCTCCTACAGTCTGGACTTTGTGCGTTTCGCTCCAGGTTGCTCCTCTGCACCCTCTATTTCCTACTCACCGACAGTTACGCTTCTGCAGTTCTTTTCTCAACAAGAGAATTAATGCTGGATCTGCCACCGAGCGACATGACATCAAATGGCCTTCTCTTGCAACAATGCAGCCAGTTTACCTAGAAACTAATTCCTTTGGGCTGGAGGTGCAATCTCATAACCCCGCCAGTTCTCTCTCAGCCGCTGCTGGGGAGACTGGGACTAAGGATGTAGCTCAGTGGTAGAGTCTTTGCCTTGTGCGTGTAAGGCTCTGGGTTTGAGAGCCACTACTTCAGGGGGGGGCAATATTAGGGGTTCGTTCATTTTAGAATTGTTAAAGAATTTTTTATTATCCTCGATGTGGTGGGTTAGAAAACGTGGGCATAGCATGTTATGTCGCCATCCGCCAAGCATGCAAATTTGCCAGGCACGGGCCTTTAATCCCACCACTCAGAAAGCAGGGACAGGCAGATCTCTGTGAGCTCCAGACCAGCCAGGGCTGCATAGTGAGGTCCTGCCCACTCTCCCGCCCAAATCAAACAAACAACACAGAAAGAAAAAGAAATGAAATTCATTTCACAGCTATTATTAAGTCTGGTCTGGCATTAAGACATTCTGGCTCTTTTTACAATAGGGTGTCATGGAACCCTGGTTGGCCTCCAACTCGCCAAAGTTGACCTTGAACTTCTGACTCTCCTGCCTGTACTTCCCAGAGCAGAGAATACGTGTATACACCCCTGCGCCAAGGTTTAGGTCGTGTCAGGGATCAAACCCACAGTTTCACAACTGCTAGGCAAACACTCGACCAACTGAGATACATCTTCAGACCAACTGTGACTTATTTTGGGTAAACAGAATGTAATAGAAGAAAAGTTGCCCGACTTCTTAATGAGACTAGGTATTGAGAGTCCTGGTAGCTTCTGCTTCCATCTGCCTGGAACACTGTCCTAAGGCCAGTTACTAGAAGATGAGAGCCCTCTCCCAGGAACCAGAGACGCCCTTCCCCATACTCTCAGGGAGCTATTCACCACAGGACAAGACCATCGTGGGTGTCATGGCCCTGATAGAGCTGCCACACAGTGCCACAGGCCTGCACGCCCACCGGAACAGCAAGCATTGCCCAGTTCCCCTGTGCAGCTGTGAGATGGACAGCTGCCATCCACAGGAGTCACGTTTCAAACTGCCACGGTGAGCACCAATCCATTATTGCTCCTAGGAGAAAGACAGGTTTAAGTCCCGACAAGCTGCTGAAAATATCCTCATTAATCAGCCGGTGTTTGTGCATTCCTGCAACCTGCGGCTGTGTGCACTCTGTGAAATGACTGGATTCTTAGCCAACAGCATCCTGAATATCTGACGGAAGCTGCTCCAATATACTCCTTTTTCTCTTTGAGCCCCGTACTTCTTGTCCTTAAGAGCCGTGGTAATCAGATTCATCGTTGCTATGGACAAAAAAAACTGAGAGAAATGAGTCAAGGTGAGCAATTATTCCCGTGGCTTCCAGTCTCCGAGAGTTCCACCTAAAATGGTGAGAAAGACGTGGTGGAGCTGCACACATGGAGACAGCGTGTAACAAACACTGGGAACACAGGGAGGATGTAGGGAAAGAAACGGCCCTCAAGGACACGTGCTCTACGGCACAGCTCCTCTGGCTAGGCCCTGTCTTTCCCCACCTCCCAACAACACCGTCATATTATGGATAAATTTCTGGCCCTCATGATCTAATCCTCTCTGGGCTTGTTCTTCAGAGATGTGCTTCATCTCCTTAGAATTTATTAATTCAAGCTGTCAGTCAAAAGTGTCCTCCCTGTGCTAAGCAACATTTCAACAATGTGGTTGGGGTCTTTAAAATCATTGGCAAAATCTACCATAAATGTAAGGGAAATGACGTGGTTATAGAATGGAAGATGCT